CACTAGAAAAACAAGCAAAGAAAGACACAAGATTACCCGAAAGAAACAAAATAACCTCAGAATGCACAAAATTACATCAAAGAGATTCAAATGACTGCAAAAGGACACAAAACAATCACAGTGAGACACAAAATGACTGCAGAGAGACACAGAACAACCAAAAAAGATGCAGAATTACCTGAAATAAACACAGAATTACCTCAGTAAGATACAAAATTATACCTCAGAGATATCCAAACAACTGCAGAAGGACACAAAACAACCACAAAGAGACACAAAATGACTATAAAGCAACAGAAAAACAAGCAAAGAACAACACAAAATGACCTCAGTAAGAGATCCAGACGACTATAAAAATACATAGAACAACCACAGGGAGACACAAAAGGACTGAAAAAGACACAAAATGACAATATCTGAAAGAAACACAAAATTACCTCAAAATGCACAAAATTACGTTGAAGAGTTCCAACCGACTGCAAAAGCACACAAAACAACCTCAAAGAGACACAAAACAACTATAAAGCAACAGAAAAACAAGCAAAAAAAGGCACAAAATTACCTGACAGAAACACAAAATTACCTCAGTAAGACGCAGAATGATCTTGAAGAGATCTGGATGACGACAAAAAGACATAGAACAACCACAGGGAGACACAAAATGACTAAAAAAAGACACAAAATGACAATAAAGCAACAGAAAAACAAGCAAAAGAAACACAAAATTTCCTTAGTAAGACACAAAATTGCCTTGAAGATATCCAAACAACTACAAAATATGCAAAACAACCACAGGGAGACACAAAATGACTAAAAAAGACACAAAATGTCTAAAAAGCAACAGACAGACCACCAAAAAAGACACAAAATTACCTGAAAGAAACATAAAATTGCACAAAAAACTGCAAAAAGACACAAAACAACCACAAACACACATAAAACAACGATAAAGCAACAGAAAAACAAGCAAAAAAAGACACAAAATTACCGAAAAGAAACACAAAATAACCTCAGAATGCACAAAATTCCCCCAGAGTGATCCAAAAACAAGCAAAAAAGACAGAAAATTTCCTTAAGGAAATACATAAATTCCTCAGTAAGCCATAAAATTACCTTTAAGTGATCTAAATGACTACAAAAAGCCACAAAACAAAATGGCTATAAAGCAACAGAAAAAACACCAAAAAAGACACAAAATTACCTTAAGGAAGTGATCCGAGTGACCCAAATGACTACAAAAAGCCACAAAACAACCACAGGGAGACACAAAAAGAGTAAAAATAGACACAAAATGACCACAAAGAGACGCAAAACCTCCACAAACTCTCCATGTGTTATTGTATGTAGGAGAGAAATTAGGGTTTTTCTATATCTGTGCCCAGGGGCCTACTGTCTCATAATCTGCCCATGATGCTCTGATAAAGGTCGCCAGGCCATATTGTTAACATGTTTGTTTGATATGACAAGAATAAATTGGTGAAGTTGAGATAAGTCAACTTTGTCCTGAAAATCTATATTCAACATTGGAACGACAAAAACTTTGGCTTATCCCATAAATAAATACTGAGAAGGTGCATCCTTTCAAAGACCTACTCGGTTGTTGTTGGTTGGTTCCCTGTCAGTCCCTAAAAAGTTCAAACTTAAGATATGCAACATTTTAATCCATCAGATGCGTAGAGTAGCCCTAAAGTGAAAGTTAAATGTCTTAGTCAGAGATAATAGTTAATAGAAAACACAGTAACAATTTGGTTCAGGTCTAAAATGCCCGGAGTTATTGCTTAAGGAGAGGAAGTGCAGCTGTTGCATCATGTTACTTTTTTCCACCCCCCACTTCCCTCCCTCTGGCAGCTGAGGGAAACCAGCGAAGAATAGAACTGCTGCAATTAAGGCCGAATTTACTTTTCAACAACCCACTCTGCATGTTGGAAGACTGACCCTCCACAGCTTCTTCATCCTCCAACACTGCCGAGTGGGTGGGAAGCATCCCAGTTTATTCTCAGTGCTCCTTCCATCACACGGCACCTCTCAGAGGATACAGCACTCCTAATGTACAAAATTAGACTTTCATTTGGCACTAAAGATAACTTCCTGGAAGTTAAGTGCATGAAAGGGTGGAACAGTTTATTCTGTTAAATGTCACTATGATGGGACTTGATGTCAGGGTAATAGTTTAATATCTCACACACCCACTCTTTTGCTCTTTAGCTGACAGGTTGTATTAAATGGTAATTGAATAAAGCTAGATTATGCTTGGAGAGATGTACCACCAACACATAGACACAATGATATTCTGCTTATATTGGACTCAATCACCAGAATAAATGTTGCCCTGGATTGGCTGCCAGACTATCGCACGGCTGACACATAGAGACAGACAACCATTCACACTCACATTCACACCTACGGCCAATTTGGAGTCACCAATTAACCTAACGGGGATGTCTTTGTATTGTGGGAGAAAGCTGGAGCACCTGGAGAAAACCCACGCTGACACGGGGAGAACATGCAGGCTCTGCACAGGGGGGCTCTCCCACCCCAGGCTAGAGCCAGGAGCCCTCTTGTTGTGAGGTGACAATGCTAACCACTGTAACACCGTGTCACTGTAATATGTTGTCTGTAGTATATAATCATCTGAAAATAAGAATTGTCCTATTTTGTTACCTTAGAATGAGCTTTTTATATCTACATAATGAGCAGATCCTTGTCCATGGAGTCCGCCATGTTGCACTGCCATGTGTCCAGAATGGACATTCATGTTTTCATATCCACCAAAGCAGTTCGTACCCACTCTGCACATGTTGTAAATATTGAGGTGGGGGTATCCCCTGCTGAAGTCTACGCTTGTGGGAGAACATCATTTGGCTTAAAATAGCCAGTTTGGTCGTCACAACCACAGCTGGACATGTCCAGCACGCCTGCTTTTGTTAATCTTGAGGAGTGGTCTGCTGGTTGGTGTCTTGCCATCTACCATCCCCTCTCCATCTGAAATATGTTATGGGGACGTATGAAACATTCAAATGTGACATGTCCGTGGTTTGCATTAATGAACAATACAATGTGCATTTAGTCTGCCTTTTAACTATTTTCCATGATCAGAAACTGCGATTATGCCTTTGTAACAGTTCTGGTCAAGTTATTGATTATGTGTGTTTGAAGCAACTAAAGCTGTCAGCTGATATAGATGTCATGTCGCATGAGCCCACACAGATTTTGGACAATTAACCAAAGCTATTCCAAGTTGTAAGTTAAGTTTCTGTGTGTGTGTGGTGCACTCATGTGCATGTGATCTCTTTTCCAGTGTTCAAGGTTACAGGGCAGTGAAATCAAGTGGTACTGCCAAGTCTTGTCTGCACATATGCAAAGACATGCCTGATTGGTTGCATAAGAGGGAAAGAGTGAAAGGAGAAACCTCTGACCCCAACCAGATACCATCCCACCGAATCACAGCCATAAATTACAGTCCATTGCTCTGTGTTTATCAAAGAGCTCGCTCCCACTTTCCCGTCCCACTTATTTGTTCTAACTTGACAACAAATGCGCTCAGCAGATGCTTATTGTAAAAGAATCCCTGCACTTTGCATCCGTCTGCCATGAAGGAAAAAGGAAACAGTTGGCTTTGTGAGATATGTTTTATTGTAGTAATCAACAGGAAATTTTTTAAAGTTGTGTGTCATTTTATAAATTGTTGTCTCACACCACAAACTAAAATCCTGTGAGGAGAAAACAAGGTGCAACTCAGAGTCAAGACTGCTTCAAATGCATTTAGTGGAAGACAAGAAGAGGTTGTTGAATTCAGTCCATTAAACAAAGAGAGTATTTGCTGTTTCTTGCTTTGATCAAGAAACACAAGATATTAACACTGATTTTTTTTTAAATAATGTATTAATACTTAGTGTCTATTCACCTAGAAAGATCATAAAACCAAAAATAATAATAATTTATTTACAATAACGGCCCGATAAACGTACAGTTCTTTCCTCTCACTATACACACAGGAAGTCCACGGCCCGGTTCTTGGTTTAAATGGTGGTGGAAGCACCATTTGTTTTCTGGAGCAAGCCCATTCTGATATTTTCAGCACAAGTCAGCAAGATAAAAATACAAATGTGTTGAAATTTGCTGAAATGGCAGTCATGGTGCTTTTAGTTTGAGAAATGTGGAGGGAAAACTAATTCATCTCACCTGGGATAAGTGAAACAGTGGTACACAGTCTGACCCAATATCTTTATTACATGCCCTATTAAAAATAAAAAGAACGAAAGAGACTAATGCCACTGGCCATGAATATAAAAAAAACAACATAATACGCAATATGACATCAGTAGATTCAATACTAACTAATAACCAAATGACTATATAAAGTGCATCTCTCCAAGGTTTGATGGTTTTGTTTTTTTATTTTGCCAAACAGCAGATGGATTATTTGTAGTCATGATGCCCATGCGCCAGAAGAAAATGTTGGCATTGTGTGTTTCAAACTACGAATGGCAAGACAGGTTTAATTTATTTATATAGCACATTTCATTTGCTTGTTTCATGCATATCCTATCAACCTTTTTAAAGTGACTTAGTATATGAGCTGATTTGTCATCAGGAGGTGGAGGGGATGGTAGAACATACCTGCCAAGCTGCAGACTTGCAGACAGCTGTTCAAGACCAACAAACTACAGCAGTTTTTCCAACTGCTTTTTAGGCTCAAAACATGGGTGATTTGTAGAAACCTGTCAGTGTGTTTCCATCACCTTTTTAGGGTGCAAGCGTGGGTGTTTTGTAGCAACTCATCTGTGTTTTTTCAGCAGCTTTTTAGGCTACAATCGCAGGTGATTTGTAGAGACCTGTCAATGTGTTTCTATCAACTTTTTAGTCTCCAACCATAGGTGTTTTGTAGCGACCCATCTGTGTTTTTACAGCAGCATGTTAGGTCCCAAATGTGGGTGTTTTGAAGAAACCCATCAGTGGGGATAGTGCCACAAAAAAATTATCTTTTACCAAGACATCACTGCATTTCTGGCGAGGATTGTGCCCCCAAAACCCAGTATTTTAAGCCAAAACATGATCCTAATCATAACCAAGTGGGTTTTGTGCATAAACACCACAGCGTTGTTGAAAAAATTTAAATGCATCTGCTATATCATAACATGCAAATATAACTTATCTGTGGTTTGCAGAAATGTACAAGGCCAACATTTTTTTCTGGGTTTTCATGTGTGTGATCTGCCACAACACAAGCAGGTCAAAGTGAAACTAGGGCGTTCAGTGTATGCCTGTACCAAACACAGGATTAAGCAAAGTTTTTCACATTAATATACTTTAATAATATGCCAAAATGTTATCTCCGGGTATGATTTGATTTGTTTGCACTAGTTTCCTGGTATTTTTTTTTATTGTGACACAATCTTAAAACTGATTTCTTACTTCTTCAAATTCATTTTTCATCATATATACATTTTAAATCCTAGCATAAAATGTAGGCTATTATCAGATATAACATTTATTATGACATTATAATGACACAAAAATGCATCTAAATTTGAGTTGTTAATATGTCACAAAATATATTTCTTTGTCACAAGTGGCCAACAAACCTGTAAATGTGAGAAACATGTCCCACAAGCATCCAAAACATTCAAGAGTCATTAATATGTTGGCTTCATATCGAAGAATATATATTCTCAGCACTGAATTTCGTGTTAAATCAAGATTTCCCTTTGGTCAATATTTGTGGGCTTTTTTTTCTTTGGCCTTTTAACTTAATATAGAGCACAGATCTGATACAGTATTACTCCACTCTGTCTCCCACGAGCCTTGTGGGCCTATGTGACAGTTTCATTTCAGATTACTTTAATTAGATTGTCTGTGGAGGCTCTAAAAATTATGTGTTAAGTCTTTGATTACCAATATGTGAGGGGTTTTAGTTAGATTCTCCTGTTCATACTGTGTTTTTATGTCTTGTGGTCACAGAAAGGGCTGAACTTTGAGGTGCTTGTTGTCTTTGGTTATTTTTAATTTTGTGCACATATAAGGAGAAAAGGTCTCATCTGTAAATTATAGAGATAGTGTACAGCTGTGTTTTTATTTCCCTTTAGAATACATATTGCATATGAGAAGAATTACAACTGAACTCCCACTTCTGTGGTGAGCGGCATCTCCTCTCCTCCTGCCTGTCCTGCTCACACCTACTGACTGCCTGTGCACAGGGCAAGAGGAGAGAGGGGGAGAGATCCCACGCTGAAGAGCTGTGGACTGCGATTACTTTAAGCAGCATGCATGTGAATAAATTATAACGTATTCGTTGCTTTTTTTTCTTAACCGTCGAAATAAGTCACTGATTTTGTTGCTTTTACAAAATTAAGTCGCAAAAAGGGTCTGAAAACTCATTAAATTTATCATGAAAGTCACCCAGCACTTATATAACATAATCTACCATATTACATGCTTTATTTTGTTTGGGGTTACAGTTTACTTCGAAAAAGCCTTTTTTAATGGCTTATTTGCTTTTTGTGTGGAAGTCACATCAGCCTGTCCTACTGTTGGATTTGGGTTGGTTTACACTCCAGCAACTTCAGCCAACATTACCTGAGAAAGTGTTATTGTTAGTCTTGATATTAAAAGCTTTTTTTTTTCTTGTAATGTTAACATACAGTACAATTTGGAAATATGAAAAAGAAACCATAAGTGTAATATGTTAGTAGGCCTATGCAAGCTAAGCAAAATAAGATGAGCTAAATAGAGTTATGTTAGAGTGAAATAACAGTCTGATCTTTAGGGCTGGATATTGTTACAATTACAATACCAGTACCAATACCAGTACCCTTAAAGTGATACCAATACTTTATTCAATACCCATAATGTGAATGGAGTGGCACATACTTTAAAACGTTTTGGTGGCATCTCGGCACACTGCACTACCATCTCCGTCAAATACATCACACTTGACTTCACCCCACCACAGACTGTATGTGTTGTAGCTCCAGCTGCAGGAGTATGGCCACTCACACAGTGACAGGGCTAACTGCTATTAAGGGGTTTAATGACAGAGTCGAGCCATTTCAGTGACGGTGTGAGTTTGTTGGGACCATAGACTGGACGGATGAAGGGATGAACGACATGATAAGCCTGTTTTTGTCTACCACTGCCTGAAATCAAGGACCCATTGTGTCAGAAAATACCTCTGTCGATCAGTATTGTAAACTGTTGCCGTGGGAGAACAGAAAGTTTGACAGATATTGTAAGAATTACCTAGGGGAGTGGGGCTTAGCAAATGCTTGCTCAGTTAGTGTTTGCTCAAAGTCGCAATGTTCCTGGTAAACTGTTGAGTAAGAAAATATATAGACAGATGCTATTTGTACCCAGGGGTGTCCATAGACAACAGTGCTATTTGCACTTGGGGTGGAGTAGCTGTTGTGGATATTTACTGCCAGGTGTAGCCTATGTAGCATCATGGCAGAGACAAGCATCCAGATGTCCATAGCCAAAAATGCTATATCCAGCCCAGTGTGCATTATTGGGCATCCTAACAACATATAAATATGAAGTTAACACAAACAGGTCTATTAATCTATTCTGCTAAGGTTTATGTACACAGTGTGCATTCAGCAGCTTTATGCATCCTAAAAACTGAAATAATAAGTCAACTAAGTCTAAAAATAAGACAACACTAACTCAAATGGGACTCAAACCCCAGTTTGTTTCATGAAAGTCCAGTGTTTAACCCATTTATCCACCATATCTTATTACTGCCATGGACTGTCGTCGAAAACTATGTCACCTGAATCTCTGGCCGTACATTTATGAGTTTTCTCTTGTAATTCACCACTTTAATCCCAGAATATCTAAGATTAGCTGGTATTACCCCTATGACCTCTTTGCCCTAATCCTAACTGTTTCTGACCTAGAGGTGTCAACATGACGAGCTCTAGCCAATCACAGCATGCAGTGGGATCTGTAATAACGTGTAAATAGCCAAAATACTGCAGTGTGATTATTCTCACTTTGGTGCAAGCAGGCACTCTGAAATGTTTAACACTTATTCAGGTCAAATGTTTCCCTCTGGCTGAAATTTAAAGACAGAGTAGTTTCCCTGTCATCATGCTTAAATGACATACAATGCACCATCAACTGTGTTTTCCCTTTTTCTGATGGAAATATTTAGAAAACTACCTTCTCATGGAGTCCAGTTGTATGTATGCCAACTAACCACGTCATCCATGGACATTGTATAACGTATAATATTTAGAGTCTTATTATACACATAAATTATATCAATAAGATTAAAATACGCTGTTGAGCTACACCTCTGTTTTTACTAAATCAATCTGGAGAAATATTCCCACACTTTAGTTTTCTAAATGTCATCTGCAAAGTGTCAGTTTCACTCCACACTCATTTGCAAATTGTATATTTGCGGACGGTGAACAGCACCTACAGATAGTCCCAACAAAACTATGAAACATGTCTTAAAATATTCATACAAAACTATATTATTGTCATGCACTTTATTACTAGAATCATCTGCAAATTGAAACATGACAGTTTTCTTTGCATTTGATAAAGCTTCATAACCATCTCAGGGAAGCAAAAGAGTTAATCCTGTGAGAAGTGCAATGAGTTTCATCCCTGCTTGTCTAACAGGGATCAGTTCTGCTGTTTCTCCTCCTGTAGTGGTATCCTCGTGTCAGTAGGATGACAGTCATAGGGCTCTTTATGCAACACTTGCATTGCTCTGCATCCAAAAACAAACTAGACGAGCAACAGCCGAAGGTTAAATCTCTGATTCTCTACGGGATGACTTTTGATCTCGTCCAGGAGTGGCCTGCTCATTCCCTAGCTCTGATAAACACTGTCTTTCTTCCTCTTTCTCCACATCGCCCTCGTCCTCCTCATCCCTGCTGATGAAGGCAAGCTCATTCTCATAGCAGAAAGAGTTGGCACCAGATGTTGGGAATTTTCTCTCCTCCATGTCCTTGGCACTGCATCTGGGGGTGGAGGGTACTTCGAATGTTTTGTGAAAGTAGGCGTAATCTATCCTGTACTGGCTCCTCTCCTCAAAGATGACGGGCTCAAAGCGGTGACCCCACAGGATCTCTGAGGGCAGGTAAGAGCTGCGTGCCTGTGTCGTCATGGCTGTGGCCTCCACCAACCCTTCAAGTATAATTACTATCTCAAAATCAGATGTTTCAAGATCTTGCTTACTGATGCCAAACAGTGGACTGTCTTCATCAATCTCATGTATGACAGTGAGGGGTGCAACCAGAAACAGGCGGTCTGTGCCTTTGTCATAGCCGACATTCATGTCAATCTGATCCAAGGGGATGTATTCGCCTTCCTCTGTGTAACGGGGCTTGACGAGTTGGGCTCGCACATGAGCTTCCACAATGTGGCTCTTCCTTAGATTAGCAACCCTAAACATGAGGCACAGTTTCCCATCACGTAAAGCAATGACTGCATTGTGGCTGAACAGTAGAGTCTCTGCACGCTTTTTGGGCCTTGCCATCTTAGCCATGATGGCACCAATCATGAAGGCATCGATGATGCAGCCCATGATGGACTGAAAGACCACCATGAAGACAGCAGCCGGACATTCCTCTGTCACACAACGAGCACCATAGCCAATGGTTGTCTGGGTCTCAATGGAGAAAAGGAAAGCTGCCACGAAGGTGTTAACCTGTGTGACGCAAGGAACAAAGCTGTCGTCCCCTTCAGGATGGTCCATGTCACCATGTAGGAGGCCGATGACATAGAACGCCAGACCAAATGTTAGCCAGGATGCCACAAACACCAGGCTGAATAGCAGGAACATGTATCGCCAGCGGATGTCCACACATGTTGTAAAAATGTCAGATATGTACCGCTGTGACTTCTCATCCATGTTTGAGAAATTGATGTTGCATTGGCCAGCCTTGCTGACAAACCGGCTGTGGTATTTGCGTCTTGTGTGAATCTTGCCATTGCCGAAGCTGCCCACAGCAGGCATGGTATTTAGTCTCAGGCCTTCTTCTTCACAGGACACGACACTGTGGTGGTGGGCCCTTCCCACACTCATGCCTCAGTGGGGCAGAGCCACGTGAGCCACTTTACACGATCAGCCCGGCTCATACAAAACTGACCAGGCTCACAGGAAGTGTGTGGCTCCTTCCAGAACAGACGCAGTGTCAGCTGGAATTGAGAAGTGAGGCACAAAAATAGTTTCCTGTAAAGGAAGGACAGGCAAAATATTAGCATACAGTATTATCTATTATCTGCATACAATGGAATTTTGTAAGGTGAATGGATGTAATCTAAAAAGTGGAATATGAATCACTTTACCTATGTTTAAACAGAAAATTTAGATAACCACACAGTCATGTTTTGCAATACTAATTTGACAACATATTGCTGATTCTGGCCTCAGAAGACTGCACACTGTGTACACTGGACAAAGCCAGTGAACATGATGTACATTTCCACTTAAATTCACAGTAAGCAGTGGTGCTCCCAAAGGGGGCCAGAGGGGGCCTTGGCCTCCTTGATAAAATTGCTCCTCCCTGTAGTGGTCCTCCTTGGCAAAAATGATTAGATGCTGGCCTTATAATATTTAAGTGACTGTGGTGCACTCATTTTTAAACTCTTTTTTTTTCCCAGTTAGGGGTTGTGGGGTAAAGAGCCTATTCCAGCTGACATTGGGTGAGAGGTGGGGAACACCCTGGACAGGGGGATTATCACAGGGCTAACATATAGTGACAGACAACATGTCCTGAAATAAATCGTAAAATAAGAAACCAAAATATATAAGTAGCAGTTCCTTAGCTCTCTTATTGGCATAGTTTTCAACTAGTAGCCTATAAACTTCAACTGCATAATTAACATCCTGAAATTCAGTGATGGTTTTTAGTTTTGATGTACCACCCCAAGATTTTCAGTGGCCTCATCTGGCCATATTTCTGGGGGCACCACTGCCTGTAAGTAGTTTCAGTGTGAAATAAAACTTTTTTTCTGCACAGTTTAGGAATACTTCATATTCTCTATCTCTTTGCTTCAGCACACCACTGACTATAATTTGTCTGATAAGTACGACTTGTTTAGGCCAGACTTCTACTTCCCTACTCAAAAATATATAGACCTCTCTGAGGAGTCACTCACTGTCAACTCAAATAGTTTTAGAAGATGGTTTCTAATAATAGCTGCTGTTTTACAAAGCCTTCCCAGCTAATGCTTGTTGTATTTTCATGTAATATTTTTCTACTGTTGATTCTGTAACAGGTCTTTTGATTGTTTTTCTTCTCAGTTTAGTCAAAATGTAGTTGATGAATGTAATTGGCAGTAATCTGTGTTTTGAAGATGTTCAGATGTCAATTAATTTATGTGGCACAGTTTAGGGCAAATATGAAAATGATACAGTTTTACATAGATTTTCAAACACAACTACATTTAATTTGTAATATATCCCTCCAGACATTTGATTTTCTGTCCTACCTCTCTTTCCCCACTTGCTCTTTCAGAAATACTCTGGTGTATACAATACATGTTTCTCTGATCAACAAGGTACAGAAATAGCCAGCTAATCCAATGCCCTGCCATTTTATATGACGTATCTTCTGTTTCCTCCAGCTGGCACAACTATTAGAGTCACTGGAGTACTGTGATGAGGCTGTGTGAGTCCCCTGTGAGGCTAAACTGGAAAATAATATGGGCTGAAAAACACGGGGCAGAAAATTGTGTATCATAGAAGAGATAGCCTCAGATACTAATGCTTTGAAGATAGGAATCGATGGAATCACTTCAGGTACATTAATGGAAAAGATATTTTTAAAAAAGGGGAACTTTATCCTGACCAGTCTCCAACTGCAGCCTCCCGCACATCTAGCTTGTGCTTGATTTGTCATCCTAGAAATAAATTTGTTACATCTTCTATATGATTTACAGCAAATTGTGAGACACTTAGTTGTCATTTTCATTTATTTGTTTTAAACCTATAGTTCAAGTACCAGTATCATACAGTAAACTTAATCAAAAATCTGAACATCCTGTTACACATAGAAACACATAATACCAACGAAGAGGACAGCTGTCAACAACAGGTTTATACTCTTTCTGCTTGAATATTTTGGAGTCAAACTTTCTATAAAGTTTTAGCCTACTCAACTTTGTGATAAACAAAAGTTTACAGTCTAGTGGCTCTGTGCAGCTGTACTTAGGCTCACATTGCAAAGATGTTAAGATAATAAGACGACAGCTAGGAGATGAGGCTGTGCATTTTGATGAGTGCATACACCTGTGTGTATATAGAAACCTTTGTGTTTTTCACAAGGCTTTTGTAACATGCTCCAAATGTCTAGCAGGTATAATGTTTATGTTCGCCACCTTAGCTAAGTTAGCTGGCATGCTAACATGATGATGGTGCTACATGAAAAGTTATGTGTACAACACTCATACTCACCTCAAAAGCATTGTAGTCACTCAACCTGTTGAGTCATTTAAAGAAATACTTTATCCACAAAATGACCATTTGTATATCAATCACTCACCCTGTGTTACACTGAATTCATGTTGCCTTTCTCATATGCCTCAAAGATTGAAGAAGATGAACTGCAGTACAAAGGGACAGCGTTTGATAACAGCAAAGCTTTATCAAAACATCCATTTGCAAACTCTTAAACTCATGCAGTATAATCCAAGTCTCATTTATCCAGTTGTGTTCAGTACTTCCCAAACACATGCTATATCTCTAAATCCTTACTATTTCAACACATTATTAAATTGTCTCATCCACAAACAAAAGTGCACCTGGACAAGCATGTGCGTTTGAACTCTGCTTAATGGCATACATAAGCAGAGATCAAACGCACATTCTTGCCCAGGAGTGCCGCTTACATGCATGTCTGTTTTAAATAGTAACGTTAGCCCAAAATGCATGTGTTTGAGAAGAACTGAGCATATGACTAGTAAAATAAGACTTGGATTACATTGAACGAGTTGTATATGAGTTTGTTAATGGATGTTTTGATATAGTTTTGCTGTTGTTAAACGCAGTCCCCCTTTGCTGTAATTCATCAACAATATTCGCCATTTGTGGATTCTATGTTCCCCATGGAGACATTTGAGAAAAACAGAGTTTTCCTTACAAATTCAATGTGACACAGGGTGAGTAATTGATATACAAATGGTCATTTTGTGGGTGACGTATTCCTTTAAGTTCAACTTTATTGCCACATGTATAAGTTCAGTGCAATGCTTGTGCTTACTTTTTTTTCTGCGTACAAATAACACACCAAGAAACAAGTTGACAGCAGCTTGTAGCGCCATAGTGCGACGCCATCTTGAATATTTTGGTACTTTTGCACATTTCACCCAAACTTAAGATTTCAACTTCAGGCCAAGCACTGGGTGCTTAAAGGAAAGTGAGGAATCACCAAAATCATTAGGATCCATCCCAAAGGATTTATCCTTAAGGTTGATACAAAACTTACACAGCAATCTATCCAATAGTTGACACATGACATATCTGTACATCTGGACAGATGTACAGATATGTCATGATATGTATAAAATTTCATATACCTGCATTAGCACCAAAGCCACGCTGCAGTTAATTTATCTCCTGAGTCTCCAGCTCTGAGTGATATTCATGTCACTTGCTTTACTGATGTTCAGCTGCTTTCATTCTTCGTATGATCATTTTATTGTCAGAGGTTTAATCCACTGATGGAACTTCACTCATTTCAAGTCATAAAACAAGACCCTGTCACACCATCACACTTCAGACTCGAGGGACACAGAGAAAAGCACTTCAACTACGCATCAGCACAAGGTGACATGTTGGTCAGCAACTGGCTGTGACATGTTAAGTCTTGCCTTTTAGATAATTATCATGATTGATTTTGATTACATTGCCCTTTAGGATATCTGAGAACAAGACTGGTGGGTAAACTCAGGTCAAAAAACACGGTAGAGATCCTAACATGATTGGTTTTGTTTCTTCAATAGATGACATGCAGTCAAACATCAAATAACACACCTTAGCATTTTAAGAATGTGTAGTTATAAAGCAACTGGGATTTCAGCTGTAATAAAACTTCCAAATGGGGTCACACAGACTGCTGTGCAGGTGTCCCCACCATGAATAATCTACTGCTACAGAAAGATACATATAAAAACCCTGTACATAAAACAGAACAGGTATGAAACATGATGAATTTTATATAAACTTTCTGTACAGATTTAAGTTGAGGTTTGAGTGCAGACTCTAGGATGACAATTAATAACAACAAATTTGACATTTTATGCATATTTGAGTATGGGTATGTGTGTTTTTACACAGTTGTTTACGATTCTCAATGCTCTACAGTAGTTGCTAGGAAGCAAGGGATATTAATATCTAGTATTCTGTGCGACTGCATCGCAGCTCTCACAGGAGCCACACTCTGCCTGCTGGGCTGTGATCTCAACACCGGAGCAGAGATGAGTCTATTCCTCTGCTGACGTTTGTCGCAATAGAGACTGAAAATATATTTACATTTAACAATGAGAGACACTCTAGAGGTCTATAATTAGAAAGGTGTTTCCTACAGTATTATATTTATAGTTTCTCTGTCTAAAATCATAAGCAGCTTACCTTGTGTGCAAATGTTCCCAATAAATGTGGATTCCCAACTTTCTGTTTCTTCAGTATCTCTCAGTCTTTATCCAAACTGCTGCATGTTTCTCCTCAGGCTTCCTTCAACTCTTCTCTTCTGTTACGGGTAGAACCACTCTATCCTCCTGAGGCAGAAAAGTAAACCGCCACAGAGTACCATCATGCCTGTGCCTCCTAGTTTTAACGTGTCTCTTTCTCCATTCAAAAAGCAGAGCATTACAATCACTCCTACTGTGCTGTCCTCCAACGCTACTGCATGAATGATATTCAGTTGATCAGAAACAGGAAAGAAATTAGAAAATGACTAGTAAAGCACTGAAGGTATAATTTCGACCCTCAAAATAGCACAACAAGTTGATCACAGCTATTCCAGATGAAATGTCTGCATGGCTCACATGGCCTGTAGGGTCCAATCCAATCAAAAATCAATCCCTCAGAGCTTATTTTAGAGTCATGGGTAGTCGACAGTCTCACACTTTCTTGGTATATCTGCTATCTGATCTTGTTCTGCTGCAGATCCCACTCTGTATCCCACATCCAGTGAACTATTGCTCACTGCTCAGCTCTCGTCCTCCCCCTCCCTTTCACGGTGTCACTGTAGATACTTGGCATTTGGAGGCTACGTGCTCTTCCCCTACCAAGTGTTGCATCGGTGCCGGTCAGCAATACTCAGAGTTGATAGAACCAACTGGTTTATTCAGGACTCGTGTATACTAGAGAGACCATCAATGACCAGAACATAAACACGTTGTATAACTGATTGCTCTGTTTTTAATTTGGTTTAATCATTTTTCCTATGATGTATATCTTGTTTTGTGACAGTATTGCTTTACAGATTGGGCAACACCAGTGCTGTGTATAGTGATATTTCTTTATAGCCTCTAATTTCTTTCAGAAAAGCAAGAAAAAGAAAACACTTCTGGCACATTGTATGTATTGTTGCTTCAGAGGTTAAATCTGCTCATTACGTGGGCATCTATGGAAATAAAGAAGTAAATCATACTTGTAATTCATTACCATACTCTTTAATGTTGTCTCTATTTTCTAACTAAAACCAAACAGACCACAGAGTGGGTGGTGTGGTCTCCATTTTGACTCATTCAGAAAGCAAAGCAGCTCCTGTTGAACACGCTGGACTTTGAAAAGCCCATGTAGGCAGTCCCTTGCTGAACATCACTCATTGGTCTCATCCGTGTGTTCATGCCTGGATGGAGGAAATCAGTGAATAACTTGTGTATCACAGGGTTAAAAAGCAGTTGTTCCCTTGATTATAGTTGAAAACAAGACTATGGGGGGCAAATTCACAAAGAATGGATTGCATCTGCCGATAGCACCATGGCGCATGAGTATCTGCCCCTTCTCAAGCGTCAATTCATAAAAGACACCGCGCTTATGATGTTACAGCACACAAACGCCTGTAAGGTTTTGAAGCTGAGTGCAATTTGGCCTTATTTGATCTGAGTGTAATTATCCATGTGGCAAAGTGTAAATGTTGCCTTTGCTCCAGTAGCACAGTAGGCAGATCAATAGCAGAGAGGAAAAGAAAACTGAAATTTGCAGACTGTGAGCTACAGGTCCTGACCAACGAAGTGCAGAGGCAATCCTCAAAACTTCAAGCAGAAATAATTTGAATGTGACAGGAAGAAACCATATGTTGGACTTAATATCCCAGTCTGTCAGTGCGCTGTAGTAACCACCAATGTATGCATGCTACCTCATTTAAATTAATGCAAATAGCACAGGAGCACCGAGACGCTATTTGCTTGGCAGTGCAATTAGAAGTGCATTTCACCCTTTGCAGGTGCTTTGAGAATTATAAGTTCTTTTTGTCTTCTTAGTGCAGGCTTAGTGGCTGCAAAAGCTGTGCAATTCTTTTGTGAATTCACCCCTGAGTCTATAGCCACACTGACAGCTGTGTGAGACTGTACTGAGGCACAGTTGAAAAGCCAGGATCACTGAAGTCATTAGCATACATTGTCTAGGAACTATAATGTCTGCACCAAAATTTGTGCCAATCCATCCAGTAGATGTTGAGAATTTCACACAAAGTGGAAATGTTGACCTGCTGATGGTGCTAGAGGAAAAGTCAGGGGATCACCAAAGTAATGTGGGTTCATCTTCTGGGCACCATGAATGTGTGTACCAAATTTCATTGCAATCCATCTTCTTAAAGACATCCAAAAATAAAAATGTCAACCTTATGGTGGCAGTTAAGGAAAAGTGAAAGGATCACCAAAGTCAGTGGGGTTCATCCTCTATGGATCGTGAATGTCTGTACAACATAACATCTTATAGCTGTTCAGATATTTCAGTCCGGACCAAAGACGTGGACCAACCAATAATGCCATTCCTAGAGCCACAGCACTACATGGATTAAAATGTGACCCTGACCAAAAGCATAGGATAGACATGCTTACATTGTCTCTTAATACTTGTATGCAACCACAGTTTGTTTCCAAACACCACGGATCAAAATATATTTGCTATGTGCAAGCTACCACACGTCACGCTGGTTTTTAACAACCCACTGCCACATTGGCGAGAAGTTGTAATTATTTTACAGGATAGAGAAAGGATCAACAGTACCAGTACTCGCCTGACCCTGGTGGAAGGTGCATGTGACGCTGCAATATTACAGCCCCCAAGGAAGTTAAGCTGTGGTAGTCTGAGTATCAGTTTTCTCATACTAATGTGAAATGATATTTGACCTTTGAGAGTGATAGTGCTGTTGGATCTGTGTTCACTAAAGCAGTTATCACACTACAGATTTTTGATGAAATGATTAATCTTTTTTATACAGCACTTTTAAAAACCTTAAAATACAAGGTGCTTTGGGTGTGTGTTTCAGTGTGTGGGTGAGCTATAGCTTTACGTCCACACTATGTTACTGTAACTGTACCCTTACTATGATGCCAGGCCTGTAAATGGGTCATGGGTTCAGTTATGTGATGGCAGACCAGATGGGGATGTGAAGTGTGCTATAGGGACAGAGAGAGCCCGGCCGATACCTCGTACCCAGCGAGTTATTTAAAGGCCACTTCACTGCAGCAGGACAAAGTGGGCCAGGCTCGACCGCACTCAGGACACAAGCTGCAGTTTGATCACCTTTCAGATAATCAGCACACATTCTCCTGATTTACATCGAGTGATATGTCACAGTGTGGTTGTCCCCATGTGGTACAGGAGACACAGGATGTTTACTTGAAGCTCAGTCAGACATGAGCATAACTGGTTCTGGCAGGACACTCGGGATCGGGAGCATGGCAGGTACTCTAATTATACAACTGTGTAACCGTCTGTTTGGTTCAGTCCCACCAGCACTCCTGCTGCTCGTGCTACCTTGCTGCAGTTACTGCTCATTGTTCTATTGTCTGTAGCTTCAGTATCTATAGCAGTAAGACGTGGCCTGCAATTGCTTATCGGAATGAAATTACTCACATAGTTAACCCATTTATCTACACTACAACTACTACTAGTACTGCTACAAATACTACATTTACATTTTGAAGATCGATCCTAGTGTCAACAGGATCAATACTAAAAAAAGGGAATGCTTTTTTACGTCATACCTGTTGATATTTCAGGAAGAAAACTGTGCAAACAGCGTTCTGTTGTCGTGAATACATCTAGTGCATGTACAGTACTCTTTGCTCCTCCAATGCTCTTGTGTTGTCTGCACTCTAACAACATATGCGTCGTACACGGGCAGCACACTGCAGCATGCACCATGACTAGTTTAATCTGACACAAAATAGCAGTGATGACTTAGTGAAAGAGTGTCAGATAGTAGTGTCAGTATTGATACCAATAGTGTCAGACCCCCTGACACTATTGGTATCAATATCAACAATGCTGGCCCTGTATTGCTTGGTACTGAATTTAAACCAAATTCTGTGGCATCGCCCACCTCTACTTTTGGCATCTGACAAGACATATGCCCTTTTCAAAGACATTATATGTATATATATACAAAGTGCAACTGAGTTCTAATTCTCCACACAAGCCCTTCCCCCTTCCTCTTCAACTTCTTGTCACAGACCACAGTTAATAACATGCACAAATCAAGTGCCCTGTAGCATCCATGTCTCCCTGACCTGCTATCATTTGTGACAGCCGGCCAGGTAACAATAGTGATTGCCCTAAGCTGTGGCATTGTTTGTTCCTGTCATTAAATTAAACAACAATGAGTGTATTAGTAATGATATAATTGAAGCTACCTAGCAGAATTTCAGGAACATTACCACACCTCAACTGTGTCACTTCCTGCTTCAATACCTGCCTGACTTACTCCTCTTCTTCCGCTCTTGTATTCTCCGCGCCTCCGCCCCGCCTCCTTCCTCTCTTCCTCTCTGTCTTCCTCTTCTTTCCGTAGGACGGGGTTTTTCATGCATGGTTGCTATGGCAGATTCCTTGTCTGTGTGGTGGTGTATTTATTTGCAGAGATTCTGCCCTCTGCATGGATTTTCTGATTTTTGGAACATATACTGTATCCCCACAGCGCTCAGAAAAACACATGAGCATGCTTCCTGCTTGCAGGAAAATGTAATTATTCCAGCGAGCCACACTTTGGCGCTGCTTGGTTTGCCTTTAGCGTAGTCATTGCTGCTATATAAGGTTTCAGTGGCTCAGTGGTTGACATTATTTTTTTGAACTTCTACGGATAGAAATTTGTTGAATAGACCTACAAAAGCAGAAAAAAATCTGTCCATCTTAGGTTGGAGCTAACTTTCCTGCAGAAACCTCCAACAAAATGGTTGCAACCCAGCAGTGATCACAAGGAAGACATCTAAAACAAAATCTAGAGAATCTGAGAGATATTAATGTCTCTGTTGGCAGCCAACACGGATAAAAACAACCTGAGTGGGGAAGAGAGGCGTTGTGCTCCCACCCAACAGAAAGAAATGCTGCACATTCTCAAGACACAGGAGTTTTTTTAGGGAGCTGTTCACTAACCTCCCTGCTCCAGTTGAGGAGCATGCTTCAGACCAGCCTAATCTACATCCTGCCTCATCACAATAAAGTGCACTTAGCTTGTAATAAAGACTGGGAGAGGATGTTAGCTCAACACAGAAAGGACTGGAAATGTAATTTTAGGTAACTCTTGCTGTGAGGTGACTTCTACGTTCAGTCAAAAAACCTGTCTGTTATTGTATCTCATGCAAGTGCATAGTGAAGTTTACTTTTCCCTGCAAAACATTAAAGTTATTTTAAAAGTTTATGAAAAGTTTATCATTGTCTGGAAAAATCTCAATTTGTCTGTACAGTGATCAAGTTAGTATAAATTGATTCCTGTTAAAGCTGGGTTAGGCAGAAATCCAGAAATGGCAAAAACTAAAAAATAAAAATTCTTCTTCTTCTTCTTCTTCTTCTTCTTCTTCTTCTTCTTCTTCTTCTTCTTCTTCCTCTTCTTATTCTTCTCTGTCTCCTTCTTCTTCTTCTTCTTCTTCTTCATCATCATCTTCTTCTTCTTCTTCTCATTCTTCTTCTTCTTAATTGTTTCTGGCTTTTTAAAAAA